GATAAGAAAAATTGGGTTCACAGAGGTTAAGAGTGCACAGCCAGGAAGGAGCTAGAAAGAGCTGGAACTGAAAAGCTGCCCTAAGGCCAAATTCTGCACGCTTCTGTGCTCTCCCCACCAGAGCACATTGTTTTGGGAAGGAGAAAAAAAGCAAGCCTTTAAGCAGTGGCTACACATCAGCTATTATTTTATTATTATTATTATTTGCTGTTTTTGTTGTTGTTACTGTCATTGAAACTCAGCCTCAGGGCACCCTTCACACCGTGCACCTTGCACCGCACCTTCACTGCTGTTACCTCACGTGTCCTCAGTGGCAATGGGGCAGGCAGGGCGGGCAGGGCCTCATGGCCCCACACGGCACAGAAAACCAAAGACCCATGGCCAGGAAGTGGCAGGACTGACACCAGAAACTAAGTCCTCGTATGTTTCATCCCCAGTTTAGATTTATTTGCAGGACTCCCTGATGCCAGGGGCTAGGCTGCCTTCATGCCCTTGGCCCGGGCTGGGCACTCCATAAATGTGTGCGGAACTGAACTGACTTGGCCTGACACGAAATAAACCCGATTCCTGTGCTGAGCGAGATGATGCCCCAGAGAAGCCAGCCCCAGATGGAGCCTGCTCAGGATAGGGTCATAGAGCCGCCTTCCCGCAAGTCAGGCTGGTCGCGTCTGAAGGGCCCTTCTGCCCTTTGCCAAGGCATGATGGCCCACCTCCTCCAAGAGCCACAGTCTCAAGGGTCTCTTCTTCCCTTCATGCTAGCTCCGCTCAGACTGGTCTCGGCGCAGGGGGCCCTTTACAGGTTACCTCCCTGCCCCGTCCACACAGGGGTACTCCAGCCGGCACCTGTCCCCTTCCCACCATGCGCCCCCCGAGGTTCTGCAAGCTGCAGGGTCCTGGGACTGACCGCTATTGCTCTGCCAGCCTCCCGGCACCCCTCCTGACACGCCTCCCAACACCCCCCACTGCCTCTAGCAAACTCCCTCTTCACCCATCTGCTCCTCCCGAGTGGGACAAAGACAGGCCTTTTCTTCCCAGAGGCAGCCCTCATTTCTGTGCCCTGGATCCCATCCTCTCCTCCCTCCTTGGGGACCTTGTTCCATGCCTTGGCCTCAAAGGATACAGACACCCCCTCCCCAGACCAACGAAATCACCAGAGCTAAGAGATGGCTACCCGGAGTTCTTAAAAGCTCTCTAAGCAATTCTGATGTGCAGTCAGGGTCTTGAGGACAAACTGCCTTTCAAAAAAGAGAACTACAATACAATACAATACAATACAACTGAATAACACAGACCAGACTATAATAGAAAATATCATAGTGCTCTGCACATTAGAAGGCTAACTATTGTTGCTTAAAAGTTTTGTTTCAACAGTGGATGCTATTGTATGAGTGTGAGTAGGCGTGTCATCCTGGGCCATGATGTAAATGTCTTTGTTGCTGTGGATTATGGTTAAAATTTGTGTGTGTGTGTGCGTGTGTGTGTGTGTGTGTCTGTGTGTGTGTGCATGAAACATTGCTCCAGTTCCTGCTTTAGCTCCTGAATCTCTTTTACAGCCAAAATCCCTGACAGAAGACTCTAACTCCCTGTCTGCTCTTTATCTGTATTTGGCTTCCACAGTCCCTCCCCCCAGTCCTTTACCAAAGCTTCCTGCTGAGGTTTCCATGATCCGTACCTTCTGAATCTGGGGGCTTCTTCCCAGACTCAGTGTTCTTCCACCTATCCGTGGGTTTGTTCAAATAAATGACGCTCACTCTGGGAATTCCACGGAGTCTGTCATCCTCCAGATTCTTCTCTCCGCTCCTGTTCAGTCTCTCCCCAGCTAACCCCCTTAAAGTCTCACGCTCAGTGTTCTCTCAAGCTTTTTCCTTCTGCCTCTTTCCTTTGCCACCCTCTCCCCCCAGTCAATGGCTTCAGTTATTCTGCGTAAAAGACTCCAAATTTACGTCCCCACAATTCTCTCTCTTGAGCGCCGGCTGTACGCTTGGCTAGCTATGCAGCAGTCTCCTGGGAATGGACATGAGGGCTGGGGAGGAGTAAACACTGACGAGGTTCAATTCAGTCATGCACTTGACTGTGTCAGGATGCGAGGCAAGCAAGGGAGCATTATCATCCCCATTTTGCAAAGGAAGAAACTAAGACCCCGAGACATTGAGGGGTGTTTTCATGGTCACTCCTCCAATGGTGAAGAGGATCCTAGAGCCCATGATTTGAGACTTCAGTTCCACAGTTCTTTCCCTTTGCACCATGTACTGGAATTCCACAGGTACAAAAGCAAAGCTACATCTTGTTCATTAAACCAGAGGTTCTCAACCCCAGCTAAGCAACAGAATTATTAAGAATGCTTTTAAAAACAGAGATGGCCAGATTCTGCCTCAAACTTACTGAATCAGAGTCTTCTGGGAGAGAGGTTTGTTTATTTTAGCTTTATATTTTGAAATAATTACAGATTCACAGGAAAGTACACAGAAATGTACAAAGAGGTCTTGTGCACCCTTCACGCAGCCCTCCTGCAACACTGACATGGTACACAACTATAGTACAATATCAAATGAGCACACGGATGTTGCCTCCATCTGCAGAGCCTTTCAGATCCCTCCAGTGAGACATGTACCCATTTGGGTGTGAGTATGTAGTTCTGTGCAATTCTGTCACATACAGCTTTGAGTAACTACAACCACAGTCCAGATATTTAACTGTACCATCAGCATCATACTCCCTAGAGTTCAGGGTTTGACAGCCCCCATCCCTGAAGAAGAGCCATCCCACTGCTCCCGGCCCACTGCTCCTTCTGCCTCCCTCTCCTGAGAACATACCATCACCCTCAGAGCCACCGTGGCTTGAAACCAAGCTATAATTCACCAGCCCGCCTTAGGCCTACCTGCCCTGGATCCCCATACCCACCCCTACAGCAGAATAGGGCCTAAGGATGCCTCTTGCTTGGGGGAAGTCCTCACCCTTGGAGAGATGGCTCATTCATCCTTAGCCTTCTCATCTTCTAAAAGGGGAGGGGCCAGCAGGCCTGGGTGGAGCAAGGTGGGGTGCATGGGTGAGTTAGTCAAGCTGTTCTGGTGTTAGCCATTGGGGGATGGGAGCTCTTGTAGGCATCCATTCCATGGACAGAAGCAAGGTAATAGCAAGTAGCTTTAAGAAGTGGGAGCTGGGCCCCTTCCCGTATCCCTCATAATGGACAATCACCTTTAAAACTATGCTGCCTATTTGCTTCCATCCTCTGATGTCTTTTCCTTCCTTTACACCCACAGAACAATTAGAGTCAAGTGATTCATAAGCACTGCCCCTCAGAAAGCTCTAAAATCCGCTTCACAGCACTGCTCCTATACTTCTTACTACATGAGAAAATGAAAAAGAAAATTCGCTTATTGAGATTAAATATATTTCAATTATCTGATATGTTTCAGCTTTAATTGATAACAAAACACAAATTGCCCATCTGAACTTCTCATTACAGCAGCTGATTCACTGGAAAATTTACTACCTGACACCAGAGAAAGAACTAAAGATAACACAGGCTCAGTGACTCTATGATCCTGTGACCCAGCGGTCTGGTTTTTAAAATCATGCATTATCCAAAGCAAATCCATTTTAATCATCCTATCAAGAGCACTGGTTTTTTTTTTAATTTTTTATTGTTATGTTAATCACCATATATTACATCATTTGTTTTGGTGTAGTGTTCCATGATTCATTGTTTGTTCATAACACCCAGTGCTCCATGCAGAATGTGCCCTCTTTAATACCCATCACCAGGCTAACCCATCCCCCTACCCTCCTCCCCTCTAGAACCCTCAGTTTGTTTTTCAGAGTCCATCATCTCTCCTGGTTCGTCTCCCCCTCTGACTTACTCCCCTTCATTCTTCCTCTCCTGCTATCTTCTTCTTTTTCTTTTTTCTTAAAATATGTTGCATTATTTGTTTCAGAAGTACAGATCTGTGATTCAACACACGTGCACAATTCACAGCGCTCACTGTAGCACATACCCTCCCCAATGTCTATCACCCAGCCACCCTATCCCTCCCACCCCCGACCACTCCAGCAACCCTCAGTTTGTTTCCTGAGATTAAGAATTCCTCATATCAGTGAGGTCATACGATACATGTCTTTCTCTGATTGACTTATTTCACTCAGCATAACACCCTCCAGTTCCATCCACGTCCTTGCAAATGGCAAGATCTCATTCCTTTTGATGGCTGCATAATATTCCATTGTGTATATATACCACATCTTCTTTATAAGAGCACTGGTTTTTAAACCACCTCAGTACCTGGTCTCTAAGTTTGGAGGATATTACAGGGGCGGTACACGTAGGTATCAGAGGCCCTGAAATACACACCAAGGGAAAGAGGTAGCTGGCAGCGGCTGGAGAAGGGGGGACAACATGGGGGTGGGGCTTCAACTAGTGTTTGTGGGCCACCTGTGGCTTTGCTAAGGTCAGACAGAGCAGGGAGCAGGGCATCCAGCAAAGAGGACAGACTTTCAGCAGCTCTGTTGTTGTCACCGTGTTATACACCCACTACCAGCCCCACCATCAATACCGCTGTGACCTTCACCATCACCGGCACCATCGACCCCACCACTAAGACAACATGAACTGTCTTTCAGACAGAGGCCAAGGAACACCACAAACTGAACTGATGCTTCCCAGAAAACAGTCCCTGGGAATGTTCACTATGTACGCGGTGGCGGAGGAGGTCAGGGCTATGTACCTTACACTGCGCTAGAATGCTAGAGGAGACCGTGCACAGCCAGTAAGGAAAAGCTTGGGGGCCAGGCCCCTCCAGGATGCAGAGAGGGCACACCTATGGAGGGAACCTTCCAGAGCAGTGGCCATCTAGAACCTCCCATCTCTGAAGTAACGTCTCAGAGAAGGAGCAGTCACGGAGAGCCTTAAGAAAATGAGACCCTCCGCCTCCCGAGGCTGAAGCCTCTGCTCAGATGTCAGGCACAGAGCAGGGCACTGGGCCCAAGGGAGTGCGGGCACTCACCGTTACTGCTGTTGTCATCCACCAGGATGATCTCCTTGAGCAGGTGTGGAGGCGTGCGTTCAATGGCTGAGTGGATGGAACGAAGCAGCACGGACAGTGCTTCGTTGACAAAGATGAACACGATGCTCACCTCTGGCAGGCCATCCGGGAAGGAGAGGTTGCGGCACCTAGAAAGAACAGCCAGGCTCTTAGATCTGTCAGTGACTCATGTGGGGTTACCCCAGGGGCTGGCCCGCCCCATATCTTGGCACCAGCTTTGCCAGAGGGCTCAGGAGTCCAGATTCTTATTTGATATGGAAGACAAGCCTTAAGTGTGCAACAGACAGGGTCACACCATTAAAACTGGTGTGGACCACCCCAGAGTCTGAATTTGTCAATGGCTATCCCAGCTGAAGAGTTGTACAATTAGCACCAAGGGCAGTACCTGGAACCCAGCATGTGGTCACTGAGTATTTACTGGAAGAAGGGCTCAGTATATCTAAACCCACTAGGATAGAAAATGCAACCAAAGGGAAGTCTTAGTATTTTCAAAATGGCAGGCAACATCTAGGTGAGGGCAGACCTTTGATGATCTGCCGCAGGAGAGAAATACGTGTCCTTCCAGAGACTTTGACTGCCAGAAGCCACTCTGCCTCACTCCAGAAGGCATACTGCCTGGGGCCTCCCCTACTTCTCATTCATCACCAGGATCCAACCTCCAGAACCAGGCTGAAACTAGACTCAGAGTTTCCACACGAACGAGGGATGGAAGGACAAGTCCAATCTCATTTCACAGATGAGGGCACTAAAGCTCAGAGCGACTGAGTCCCCACCCCATGAGTCAGCTGCCAAGATAGAATCCCAACTCTGGCCTCTGACATCTACACCAGGGATCTTCCCTCCAGGAAAAATGGTTGCTGGAGAGACTGCCTCTAACTGTCCCATTTTCCCCCTAGTTCTCCTAAAACCCTGAAGTCATTGGAGGTCTCTTACCCGAAGGACTTGAGCAAAACCATTAAAGTCTGCGTGTTCTTCCCCATCAGAAGAGAAATGCATAACCGCTGCAAACATTGCCTTAGTGGGCAGGAAACCATGGCTGATGCCCTGCTCTGGCTGAAAGGAACCATTATTCCAGAAGGCATTGACTCAGGATAGTTGAATGAAAGCAAAGAGCAGAAATTATAGGCCGTGGGCTCAGAGAGGAGGCTGTCCACTCCCACCACTGGCCACGGACGGCTCCAGGGGCTCCCTCCAAAGTGGGAGGTGCAACCACGTTAGAACATGCAATAATGAGCATAACAGCACACGGCTTCTGCTTGTCAGCAATTAAAGTGCTGCAGGATAGGAATGGGCTGGTTCTTCCTTAATGAGGAAGGCTGCAGGATAACCAGCGCTGAGCAATTTGGAGAAATCACCATGGGGCCCCAGCCTGCTTAAGAGCAGGAGATTAATAAACTAAAATCACCGTCTCTATGGTTACCAGAAATTTACAGAAACTTCTCCCATTCTATTTCCAGCTCTCCTTCTCTCTCACCAAAGAGGGGTGGGGGAAGGGGAAGAGTTGAACCTTTTCCCAAATCCACCTCATGCTTACAATGTTAATAAAATCACCAGGTTAACAGATTGGGGTGGAAGGCGTTCATTCTTGTATTTAATGGAATAAATATTTATGGAGCTTCTTCCATGAGACAGGTACTCCTGTAGGCAGGGTGTGGACGAAATACCTATCCTCAGGGCACTTAGACTTTGACAGGGGAAACAGGTTAAGCATGGAAGCAAAGAAATGATACAATTTCGGACGAGTACGGAGATGAAAAGAAAGGCAGGGTAGGAGGCCAGGGTGATGCCTTCGCAGCTGTTCAGAAGGAGTGGTCAGGGAAGGGCTCTGTGAGGAGGAATTAGTCAGAAGCTTATATGGTTTGAAAAAGCAAGCCGTGAAAAGGCCAGGTGGGGCCGAGGGAACAGTGCGGTGATGGGAGAGCAAGCAACAGGGGAAAGCGGCTCACGTAAGTGCAGCGAAGGGATGAAGGCGACAGGGAAGCAGAGGGAGGGACTTGAATGAAGGATATAGCCTAGAAGCTCTAAGCTCACCTGACCGTTTCCAAAAAATTTTTTTGGTGTCGTGAATGGGATTTTTATAAGAACCATGAGAAGGTGTGGTTAGCAGTGCTTATTTATGTCTATCAAGACCGGCAGCTGGCCCTTCCTTAGGCATGAAAAGTGACAAAAGCATTAACAGACAACCCGCTCGTTAACTGCATTTTTAAAATAATACTATATATGGCCAAACTGCTGGTACGTGACCTTTATTTTTATTTTTATTTTTATTTTTTTTAAGATTTTATTTATTTATTTGACAGAGAGATAGTGAGAGAGGGAACATAAGCAGAGGGAGTGAGAGAGGGAGAAGCAGGCTCCTGGCTAAGCAGGGAGCCCGATGTGGGGCTTGATCCCAGGACCCTGGGACCATGACCTGAGCCGAAGGCAGACGCTTAACGACTGAGCCACCCAGGTGCCCCTATTTTTATTATTTTTTTTTATAAAGTATAGTGAACAGCTCGCAATAAGGTCAGCACAGGGGTTCACGCTCGCTGTCCTTCCCACTAGCCCCACCAGCAGTGAAGATGGTGCCCCCGCGGCTGGAAACATTTCTCCACGGTTCCCCGGGGCCTCAGAGCCCCCCGCTAACTAGAGCTCCAGGTTGTTCATAGGTGTTTTCCAGAGCTGGGGGTTAACTGGCTTCCTCTACTCCCCTCCCTTCTTACTTCTGAACATAACCGCTCCTCTTCCCCGTCCCAAGGAGACCAAGTTTAATCTCTCCCAGTATCGGCATGCCCACCCCGATGGTTTGAACCCCCAGCGCCGGGAAGCCGACTCCTGATGGTCTTAAGCAGAATGGCAATGTTATGTTGGTTTTATAAACTAAACTCTGCTGATCACCATTTTCACATGAAAGATTCTTTCAAACATAAGGTTGTTATGACACAACCGCTTTGGAACATGACACACACCTAGAGTAATGCATCGTACGGGTACCTGTTCATTGTCCGTCCCCCCATAATGCAGCCCCCCAAGAGCAGGGGCTTTATTTTGTTACTGGGCTCTTACCCTTAAACCAGAGTCCGGCACACAGTAGGTTGTTGGAATTAAAGCTAACAGAGCTACTGATTTTATGGAAAGCCTAAATTTTATATGCACACCACTGACCCCAGCATGTTCCTTTTTTTTCCTGCAAATCTCCTCCCTGTGTTGGAGAGTCAGGGCCTCTCTTCACCAGCGGGTCCTTCCTCCCCTGAATTTATGGCCCCAGTTCCTCACATTCAAGTCTCGGGCAGCTCTCTGATTCTTGGAACTGTAATTAAGTGGTCCCTCCAGGCCAAACGTCCTGACCTCCTTAAATCCTTCTTTCCCCCCTCTTCTCTCCTGCGAGCTGCTCGGGGTCCTCCCGGCAATAGGGGTGCTGCCCTGGCCTCTCCCTCTCCACACTGCGAGGCCCCCTCCCTCACCCTTCAGTTTATTGGAGCCCAACCCAAATATGGGTGTGGCTGAGCAAAGGCTGGAGGGTGGCAGGTCGAGGAAGACAAGGTGGGACAAGAGCATTGGGCAGCGGATGAAGCCACCCAGCCCCAGCTCTGCCCCAACTTGCCGTGTGACCCTGAGTGGGCCACTCTACCTCTCTCCATGTCACGTCATAGAATAAGGGAGGCAGAAGAAACAACCACTCAGTTGTCCTTTCTCTCAAAAATTCTGTAAAATCCGGGATCGTCTATCTCCCACATGGTGAAAAGAAGACACCGCATTCAAGAATCGGTTTGCAAACCTGCCCTCCCACGCAGCACCTGGTCACCACCAAATGCCACATGAAACGTCCCCCTACTGCCCTCATGATTACACAAGGTGACCACACGTCCTGGTTTACCCACGACTTTCCCAATTTCAGCACTGAAAGTCCCAAGCAAAGCGGGACAGTGTCCCTAGCCTTGTTGAGGGTCGGGACGGAGCTTGCTCCCGGCTGCACGCCCACTGCCCAGCACAGTGCTTGGCCAACAGCAGGCACTCAGTCAGCATCTGCTGAGTAAGTTGGTACTACCTTCTCAAAGTCCCCAGCACACACACATCAACGCACTGAAGTAGAATTTGCATTGCTGGAGAAAGGAGGCAAAAAGAAGGAGGAAGAACAGCCTGTCAGCTGAGATGTCCACATACCTGCTGGTGACACTCACCATTGTCCCTGCTGAACACTGAACTCAGGACAGGAGCCTGCCTGCCACAGGGCAGCTCAAGGCTTTCAAAGGGAATACACATTCAAGAACCACTTTGGAAGAGAATTGTTCCAGACCCAAGCCCAGCACTTCTGCTCCAGAGTCCAGCCACTCGATTCGCCCATCAACCAGCACTGCCCAACCCCTTCCCCCCCAGAGCTTTGCCTCTGTATCCACACCCCTGAGATGCTCTCCCACAGCACTTCGACCCTCCAGGGTCCAGGGTCTGCCCCACACCCTCTGCTCCCAGCGCCTGCTCCCCACCCGCTCTGGGTGTCTGCCTCCACACCCCTTCGCCCCTGCTCACCTCCCCAGGAAGGCCCAGAGGACCTGAGAGTCAGAGGAACCACACAAGCCCAACTGGCCTTCCCCTAGTGATGCTTCTGGAGAAAGCCTGACTGTACAGGACCAGTTCTTTACTCATATTGAGAAGAGGCATATTCTCCTATAAAATTAAGCCACAAAAGTTCCCTTTTTACTTTTATTCTTGTTCCAAGTCGAGCCATTTTCCACTAGAGATAAAAACAAGGCATTTCTGAGAGGGGAGTACTATGGCTGTCTAATAAGCTGGAATTGATGGTCATGATAAACTCAACTTTATTGATCTCTGCACACAGAAGGTGATGCGGGATGGGAGCAGCTATGTAGAGGCCGCTCAGCAGAGCTCCCCAAGACTGTTTTGATCTGCTTATAAAGCACATTTATATCAAGAGCTTCAGTGCCACTGTTGCCTGTGGGAGGCAGGGAAGCAGCGGCCAAGCGAGTGAGACCAACCTTGGCTCCCGGCGGCCAGGTACCGCCCTGGACAGCGGCCAGATGCCTCCATGTGGCATCGGCGGATTCTCCCCTCCCTACGACCTTGGCAAATCTACAAGCTCCCAGTCCATCAGGGTGATAACTCATGAGGAGGCTGCTTGACCTGGGGT